CTGCTTTTTTCAGACGTGTATCGATAATTCGGCGTTACAAAGGATACTAATGGCGCAGAAAGGACCGCACGAAAAATCTTTCAATGCGGACAGGTCAAGGAGGTAAGGAGGTAAGGAGTTTGGTAAGGAGTCTCTCTCTCTCTCTCTCTTTCTCTCTCAGTCTCAGTCTCTTATGACACATTGCGTTACGAAATGTAATTTAGGACTACGACAGAAAATTCAACGATACGAGTATTGCTTCGTCGAAGAAATGTTAAAGTCTCGTCGAGCGATTTTTCGATCGTTACGACATGTTTACACTGATATTTCCCTGTTTTTAATTAAAACTTTCCCGTTATTGACGTAACGAATATCGTTGAGCATTTACATCCGAAGCGAACGAAGGATACATATTCACCAAGTTACGTAATTTAAAAGCAGTCGTTCAATTGCAATACTTTATTCGCATTTTGTTCTTTCGACGCGTGGAAACGGATTTGTCGAATTTATCAAAGTCGAAATTAAGGACAGTCTGCTCCCACTGATTACGATCAACGCGTTATAACTTTTGCAACCCAAATTTCGTTTTTCAAGTACAAAATCTCTCGATTTATCATTGAGTGAAATAGACCACAGCTCAAACTTTTATTATTCGTGCAGTTATTTACAAAGATATTGCATCTACGATAATTGCACGGTTCAGAAGAGATAGTTTGTTATTGGCAAATAGGATATTCGGTACTTTTAAAACATCTATCTTCGAGACATTCTGAAAATAGAGGTTAACGTTATTTTGAATTAGTGGACAGTAATTATTTTAAACAACCTGCTCGTTCACACGCTGCTGCAGCTTGCTGTGAAACTATTTCCGTTGAGGACACCCATTGCCACGATTAATTTTAGTTTTTCACGCAGCTGAAACGTAAGCGCATGTAGCGAGTTAAAGGTGCGTAAGATCCGGCGCAGCAGTTGGACGTATGTAGTTTATGAGACTCTTCACCTGTCTATCGTTGCTCCCCTTCCTAGACACCTTTCACTTTTAACCTGCTAATTATTGTTTATAAGTCCAAAAATGAATCATCCAACAGACGCTACGTGCTTTACCACCTTACGCGTTCGATGAAAATTTATTAATTTATAATATATATAAATTACGTACATCGATTTTGAGGAATTAAAAGAATGATTGAATTGATATAAGTAAAGTAGAGGAGAGTATGAACAACTGTAAATTAGAGTTGATTTGATATTTGATGGAAGCGCCGCGATAAGTAACCTCACCATGTAACCAAAAGGATTATTTGGAACTAGGATCGTAGTGTATATGTATAAACTTTTAGTTGTAGCTTACAATAGAATAATAACACTTTACCGTATACCATATTGTATCGAACTTTACCGATAACGATATACGTTATTGATGCGTAATTTAAGTTTTTCGTTACCTGCGATACCTATAGAAACAACAGTAAATGTGAATTTTTCTTACACAAAGATCTTTCTTTAATTCTTTTCCAATTACTGAATCGAAAATTTATCCACGTTATTTCTATGGGGCATAAAATTGCATCGAGTACAATACTGTAATATACCATCAACTATTTCTACTTATCTTACTGGACAAATTGTAAAATTTAAATAAATAAATAAAAAGAAAAGAAAACTATTTCTACAAAAACTTAGATCTAAATAAGCAGCTTATAAACTCGACAGCTTCATAATTGGTAGTAAACCGTAATTAAGTAGATGTTTGAGTTGACCCTTAATACGTGCCATTTCGTTTATGATCGTCCCAACTTAAATATACCTAGCACGTGGGATTTCCGAAAGGTTCAGAGCGGTATAATCTAGGTAGAGTCTTTTATACGACGATTTATGAATGAATTGTACTCCCTCGAACTAGGTATCGAGGTATTCACTAACTTTCCTTCCTTACAGTTATTTCTATTATTTATGGATCCGTTTACTTATTTAGATGTTAACGCTAGGAGAAGTAGAAAGTATCTACGACTTTCGATTTTTGAAAATCTCATCAGTCCTTACGTATGACAAAAGATCTAACGCGTATCAAAATTATGATTGGGAATCTGATTGAATAAATTAAAATAAATTATATAGCCGGTAATGTCATTGCGAATATTTATCCAATTGTCGGTTTATGCTAATGACAAACAGAGGAAGCATTCCGGCTAACAATAAATTCTGTCATTGTTCTTGTAAATTGAATGATCGGATTCATCTATCATCCTAAGGGTAATCAAGGAAATAAGGAAACTATCATGTCACGAGTATTATAGAACGAAGCCCTACTCTGAATTAAGCGAAGAACGTATCGAATATAATTTTTAATATTGTCCTATCTATGTTGATATTTTAATAATATGTTCTTCGAAATAAACTTTTACATTCATACGCATAAATTGAACTACTGTGCATACATAGAATAATTTATTCTATTTTCGTTATAATCTTATTCAAACTCATTTTACATAGAATCCGCGACTCTTATCAGAAGTGTTTTCTCCTAATTAGAATTGTAACAGGGGATTTCCTGCCTAATTGGGTAATCTTAATTTTAGTTAGCTAAAGGTGTCAGTGTACGTTTTGATCAGATATAAACCGCGAATAAACAGAGCATGACTCATTAAAGCATTTGTCTTTTATCATCAGAGAATAAATTATTCCCTATGTTATCCGATATATTTTAGGTAAAATTATTTCAAAATTGAGATTTTCTGAAATGTATACGTACACACAGAAGAAGATGTGTACAATTTCTCTACCTATCATTAATAACAATAATAACATTTGAACGAAATAAATACGTCCAAAGATAGCGGAGTTCTATGCTGATGACCTAAACAGGTCTTGGCAATCTCGTGTTGTTCATACAAGTTACGCAAACTATACGCGTAAAAATCGTCGAAATCGCTTGGATTCTCCGATTCATCATGGCTGACCACATGTGAGAAAGGCGTAGGCATTCGAGTTTCTTAAGCGACGATGTTCGTCCATACTCTATACCCACGCAACTCACGTTAGAACATTTTAGATTAGTGCTCCCAGATAACGCGTGCATGTAGTCAGGGCCGCGTGTAATAAAGGAGAAACTGAACCACCTTTGATCCAAATTTGGACCTTCCTTCGTTCGATCCTCGATATCCGAAAGGTGAACAAGCGTTTGTGTATCACAAATATCGAAAATTTTTCAACAATCACGATTTATATGTAAATCAATTATTTAGTGACAATAGGTAATACGAATATCAGATCAACGTTTCTTTCGCTTGATTCGCGACGATCTTTATGCATGGACATTCTGTAACGTTGACTGAGCTGTTTGTTAAATTATTTCATTGCGATAATAGGATGTTTGGTATTTGGATCACAGCAATACATTATCTTGTTCGATCGCGTTTTTTGATTCTAAACGAAGTCCAATACAAATGGGAGAATACGTATAACACAGTGATGTACAAATCGTTGGTATATCGCATACGAAACTGATATATATTACAGTTTTTCTTCCTAATAAAAGTAAGAATAGTAAGAATATTCTATATATTTATGAAAAATTTATTTTATTAAAACGGGATTTAAATTATTTTAAGAAATAGATGGTTTATTTCTAACGAGGCACATTTTGAGCCATGTATATTTTTTCTGTGAACAACTATGCTTCTTTGTGCGGATCTGTATTCGAAAAACTTAAACATCGCAATTTCAAAGAAACGTAACTCGATCGAGAAAGAGAACAACGATAACAAATCAATCCGCAGATGGTTTATATTGGATATTTACGACACATGAGTTTATAACTTGAGAGTATCGGCAGAATAAATATTAGAATGTTAAAGAGTGTGGCGAACTGAAGTTTCGAGTTTTCGAGCGTTACTGTTATTCGAGACAATTGACGATCGAGGACGAGAATCGCTCGTTTGTCGCTTTTTTTGGCATTTTCGAGCTAGTAGCTGTACGAGGCACGTCGTAGTTTGTATTGTATAAAACATAAAACACGTATGTAGTTAATGAAGTGTTATGTATAATCCAACTCTACAATTTTCTTACCTACGCAGGAATACAGGATGAGCCTATGGTAGGAACTGCATAGAATGCTTTTTGTCGAGCTCAAGGCCTCGGCGAGATGTGAATGAATCTAAAACCTGTTCCCCTCTGCTTCTTCTTACGTGTATTCCACCTTCTTTTAGAGAAGTCAGGCACAGGCAATAAGCTCGTTGAAAGCTGCCTTAGAACCTGGTTGAATCGAGTTTGTTACACGGACTGAAATATAATCTACTTCGCGTGTATTGTCCACCGTGTAATCCTTTTTGTTCTGTCGAAGCTTCCTTTCAATACTACCTACTCGTGAAATGTTGACCGAATCGATGATTCGTGTTACTCGACGATCTCGAGTATCTTGTGAACTCTTGGGTTGAAAATGGGCGTAAAATTTTGTTTATATGTTGCGAAACTGTACCTCGTGCATTGTCCAAGAAACTCTCCACACGAAGGAGAAATCATAATAATAACAGATTCAAAACTGCTTTCAATACTTTCCCCAAGTAATTATAGTGATGTGGCTGTTATCATTCGTACCGAAAGCGACAACCTATTTGTTCCATTGTGCTGTTTATAGCAGAAGATATTTAAAGTAGAAATAATTACAACTGAAATTAAACCTTTGTCATACCTTAATTATAAGTAAGATCTCTGCAATAACTGCGAGTCACTAAGAAGTCCACCCGAGAGTGAAAGAAGATAGCAGTGTTTGATAAGATCGAAACGGTTCTAGCGCGAAAAAGGAAAAGAAAAAGAAAAACGGGCAGACGATGGAGAGTGCGAATGATTTACATACACTTTACACCACCCCTGTTTTCATCGAGTAAAACGCTATTCGCAAATACCTACTACGGACTACGGACCTTCTCAATTCCATCTCTTTACACTCCCCACTCCAGAGCCCACGTGCATCGGTGCGTAGGCAACCCTGGCGTTTCTCGGTGCTGTCGCTCCACTCGCCAGTTTCGACAGAGTCGTGCCGGTGATCGCTTCTATCGACTGATTCGTCAATTCGATACATCAGGAATACGTAGTTCGATATCGCGTGAATCGGCGTCGAAATACCAATCTTCGATCGAGTTCGGATCTCGAAAGTTTCCTTACTTTTTTGTGAAGTTAACAAAGTTTATTTAATCAGTGCTTTACGATATACTCGTGATTCTTGGTTTCGTGTCTTCTTATTATGCATTTCATTTGAGGAGCGTCTTCTAGTCAGAGGTGAGTTTCTCTTATATTTTCTCATACCTTTCCTAGGATTTTTCGTAAATCGTTTAATTCTGATAATTAGGTTTCATTTCAGAAACGTTTCATATTGAACGAAGATTGACATTTGTCGACGGGTTATTTATTTTCTCATTTGTGCGTTATTATAGGATACAGCGTCGATGTATTGGTCTGTTGTAAGATATAATTAGAGAAACGTTTCTTTCTTATTTTTCTTATTTGCTTGTCGGAACTTTGACTTGGAATTTGTTCGAAGTGCTACTTTGTTGCGGCAACGCTATGTTTTGGGCCATTTACAAACGACTTGGCTCGTGTTCAGAGCAGTTTGTATCGATGTTTACACGAACAGTTCTAAAGTTCGACATTAATTAATGTCTGCCTGGAATTTTTGCCCTCTCGTCCTGTTCGAATATCTCACGTTAAATTAAGAAACTTTTATCTTTGTGGTTAATAGTATCATAAAGTTCTTTTTTCTGTGTGCGAAGAGAGAGCTTTTACAGAGACGCGTTCTAAATATGGATTCTTGTTTAAAGATTTATATAGCAGATTTTCAAGAAGTAATATATCCCTAGTTTTGTTCTGTGTTTCGCTTCTAAGAGGAGTTTCGCCTAGTAACCGAAGTTCCTTTGTCAATTCACGACCAATTAACAAAGCACTGGCGAAATGTCTCGCGATTCTCTTTATTTTTGATAATTTCGACGTTACCAAATTTTTTGTTCTTGGAACATATAATAGATATATCGCTGTACAAAAACGCGTCATTTTAATCCAAGAACGATTTCCTTTTATTGGAATTTCAGTTTCGATTAGAAATAGGAATTCTTCGCTTTGCGAATTGTTTACATGGAACTGAATGTCGAGAGACGGTTGGCCTTGAAGACTACAAAATAAAATTTCGAGTTTATTAGCTGATTTACCGCGTATAATTAGCAGGTTAGGTCCCTATAAATCGAATAGACAAGTTGAACCTGCATTCTAAGAAAGTGTAGCAACGATGATCTTTAACTGTTCTTCTGCAAAAAAATACAAATGCGTTTCTGCGTTTCATTGATAGGTGTTTAAGGGTCGTTGATTTAATTTAATCTAATTTAATTTAATTTAATTTAATACATTTAACACATCCGTGTTAATTATAATCACAGTAACCGACGATAAATCATAGGCGAATTCTTTTCCGTGAAATGAATTCATGGATTCGCGAAATTGGAAACGAACTTGAATTATTTGTCACTCTTCATGACATGTATTCTTATAAATTATCTCGCTGATAATGCTAGTAGCCACTATTTAATCATTTGCAAATCTTTTCACTAGAGAATTGAAATGTAATCTAATTTCGGAACGATAAATTTTCGAATAGTTAATTTAAACATTTTAATAACTAAAGCGATTGAAAAATTTGACGTTAACATTTTTCTGTTTTTTTTTTTTTTATATTACATGTAGCTAATTCCAAGCAATGAAAATTAATCTTTGAAAGCAGAATCATTTGAATATACATAGATTATTATTACGACGAAAGAAAGATTAGAGAATTTTTACGTGATTCTACTATTTTAAAACAGGTATAGCGACTATTGTATATACATATACAAAACTATTTTGCCAAAACAAGAGCAAAACAGTAGAATTGTACTTAAAGCATAATACTGTTGACACTATATACATTGGTTACACATGGTTTGGTAAATATTTTTCAACGTTGCACTGAGCAACCGTTGTAATCACATTGTGTTCCAAAGCACGATGCTACTTGAATCGATAGAATCACTTACAGAATCTGTTTTCCTTGAGGTCGCGCATTTCGCAAAAAATATTTTGCTTCGATATTTATATAGCCTAAACAGATTTTCCGAAGAAAAAAATATTTCTTTCTAACAGGTACGATAAAAACAGGCGGTGTAAAGTATATCAGTAGATTATGATATTATGTAATACCATTGTCGTCTTACACAATGAAAAGCAGGGATTTTTGTATACCGGTCGAAAGTGACGTTCTTGATTTTTTGGAACGATAGATTATCGTCTAGATCGATTGGATTCAAATGTTAAGCCGGTAAGTCGCTTGCAGCTTATGCGATGAACAATGAACGGCAATTTGTATGAAGAAAAATGATGAATGAGCGTATAATGGACGGTCTTACAGTTAGACGTAGGGACAGGGAGATTGTTTCTTATGTTGGAAGCGCAAGACGACATTACGTTGGAGAAAATTGTATTGTACGACTGCTGATCCTTATTGTTAGGTTGCCAACTCGGATATCAAACGATAGACGTTCCCTTTGTATGGGCGTTAATGACGATCGCGACCCCTTGTTTCATCTAGTCTTCTTACAATTAAACCCAGCTCAGCGAGTAGCAATCGCGTTCTCCTTTCCATATCTGATTTTTATTGCTCCATGCTTTCAGCTGCTTGTCATATTTATCCTGTTTAGTATGCTCTGTGTTAACGAGCTTCGACCGGATCGAGGAATAACTTTCCCGATGTTAAAGGTTGGGATCTTATAGTCGGTTGAATCATAATTTATGACGATCCAGTAACATTCCTAAACTATTTCCCAAATGGCATGTCTCGAATGTAAAGATTAATATATTCTTTCCTGGAATGTTTCTAAACATAAACGTGTCTATTTCGGGTCTCTGGAGGCCCGAAAGACCGAAGAGATAATTACTGACGCTGGCTCGCTATGCATATCGCAAAGGCGATTTGGGTGTCCCTTGAAACAAAGCGAGGATCAATGTCGGCCGTATTGATGCAGGTTATTCTATATCGGCGTCAAAGGGGAGAAAGAACGAACGGTGATTTCGCCAGGCAACCTGAACTCACCTGGGTAGATTTGTCGATCGATGACGTCATCCTCGACGACTCGACGAAACAGCCACTCCTGTATGTACCTACCTGTGGCCGTATACGCGTGTTCAATGCTTGTGAATAAAAAAGGATGAAGCGGACGGCAAAGAAGAGGCACGGCGAAGCTAGCCAATCGGGCAACGAACTCTCTGCTAGCTGATACACCTCTTTCTCTTCATCCTTTCTCACTCTTGTTCTCTCTACAGCCTTGTCTCTTTCTCTTTGTCCTGCTTTCGCTTCGTCGTGACTCCTTCTCGATTCCGCGACTGTTCGCTTCACTCGTTCTTCCTCTCTTTCCATTTCGTCTCGACTCCCTTCTTCGACCTTCTTTGTCCCGATCTAATCTCGTGATCTCCATCTGACCTTCCTCTGGCGGAACCATGAACGTGTGTCATCCGGGCCCTAGATAACAGGGAGCAAATGAGAAGTTATCGCAGGTGCTCCTAGCGTTAATAAAAGGGTAGGGCTGCCACACAGTTGATCTAGGTGTGGTCACGTTTGGTAATGGATCAGGATGGATTTATTCAGATTAAAACGGGGGAGGGGGGTTCTAATTGCACGACACTCGTGAAGTGTTTATCGGAGATACTTTACGGTTTTCCAGACGGTGTTGGAAATAGATAGGTACTGTATAGTGATATCGATTAAAGTGAGGTCTGTTCGTTGATTCAAATGATGATTCAAGTGATGTAGAAATCGTTACACGCGAAATTCTCGATCAAATTTTCTACATTTATAGATTTATCGGAAACGGATGCAATCCGTAACCGATAAGATGTACCGTAAACTGCCAATTAGAATATTTCTCTTGTACGAACGTGCTAACCCAGTTTTAATAATCGTACAATTGTTATTTCCACGTGTAAAGTATGAACATCTCTGACGAAAGGATTAACGTTATGATACATTAAGTTACGCTCATCAAAAGCTCAAAGATGCGTTAGAAAGTCGCAGAAATTATGAATAACGTTAGCAGTTAGACAATATCGGACGAAATTAAGCGGAATAAAGAGACTTGTAATTATACGAAGCATCATGCGAGATGCATTTCAAAAATATTTGAGAAACCAGGACCTCCTTTAAGTTTCTTCAGATGCTGTAATACATGTTCTTTATCCGTTGAATCTCGGTCGTGTTTCTCGTATAATTAACGAGTAAACTGATTGTGCAGTTCTATGAACGTTATAATGCGGGCCAGCATTCTAATTATGCGGCTTTTGCAAGTAAACACTGGTGATTTTGTTTCTCCAGCGTGGGCATTATCGTTGTTACGTCGTTACTTTCTGCCCATGCGATTCGCTATACTGCCGTTATTAGTCTCAGACGTTATTTTACGTGAATATTTGGAAAAATTGGAGAGTGATGCATTTTCGTTGTCCGCTGCGTGTTTGTCCTTACAGTACTATTATTTTTTCATATTTCTTTGGGTATTTGTATTTTCAATGCCGTTCTCAAGTCCCGTGAGACGGAAATTTAAATGCCCCTTTAAAAAAAAACTTGTCAAATTGTCAAAAAAAATTAATCTTTAAGTGAATCGATAATTGAAGTCTACAACGTGTATCCCTCGAGTCGTGGCAACGGCAAACGAAAACGAGAATAAACGCTAAACTCCCTAAAAAAAGGCTTCTTGAAACGCGCGATTTTTTACGATTCTTTACGAGTTTAAGCAGATTTTCCGGTAATACTACCGAAACATTACAATACAAAAACCATGTGAACCAAGCGTTAGATTATTTTATCGACTAACTGGTAGAATATAAATTATATTTTTATCATACCAAACTTTTCATTATACTTGAGAATTCTTGATTGACAAATTTCTAGTCATACAGCGTTCTAAACGCCCTACATCGAGCTATGCTAATAATAGGTAATAATCGCTGTTCAAATTTGAGGTATCACGATCCATCTAGCGAAATTAGTGGCGCATATCGTACGATTCATCGTAAATTCCACGACGAGAGCAGAATTACGATAACTATTCGATCTAATGGATCGATCTATTAAAGAAGTACCACCGTGCCATTTTACATGAAAGCAACGTACCTGAACGGTACGCTGATCGTTTCTCTCCGCCAGCATATTTAATGTGTTTTCTTAATTACACATACACAAAGCGATCATTAGCGCGAAACGGTATAAT